GAGTTTTACTTTTAAGCTATAAGTGTATTTTATTTAGTTATGTTAGTTATGATAGTTTAGTTATAATGTAAATACAATAAAAATTAAACCAAGCTTTGTAATAATTATCATTTTGATCCATACAATGGTAATGTCTGACTGGGCCTCGTGTCACTTTATGTTCAGTAAACTGGGCCCCGAGGTCAAAAAGGTTAAGAACCTCTGGTTTAATGTAAACTGTGATTAGTCGACTATAAAAAAGAAACAGGAAAAAAAAAGACGCATCGACTATTAAATTAGTTGACAATTTTAATAGTTGACATAATCATGACTTGTCAACTAATTGTGACAGCCCTATACATAATGCCAAGGTTTGAGAAAAAACTCTTAAATTTGTGCCACGATTTTAGTTACGCATTCTTTAAAGAAATGCTATGCGTTTAATTTTGTAGTTTGATCTATTTAATCACACTTTTTTCAGTCTGTTAACAAGATTTCACAAAGTGTGTCTGAAAACTTGGAAAGATTTAAAGGCACAGTGTGTAGGATTTTGTCAATTCTTTTAGTCAAAATTGAGATAATCACTAAAGACAATAATAAAAAAACATGTCTAATCATTGCAGACAAAGACCTTGTTTTATTATTTTTACCTTATAAAAAGCTGTTTTTATCTCCATGGTCGCGGGTCGCCACACAGGCAGCCGCCATCTTGCACCGCCATCTTGTCTGCGAAGGCTCATGAAGGGCAAACTGCGGTGGCGGCGTCAAAAACGGTTTTAGTTGTAATACTATAAATGTAATATTTGTTGTCTGTCATTAGCTACGTTTACATGGACMAAAGTAATCGGATTAAACAGCCGTTCGGAATAAAAATGCGTCATGTAAACAGCCCGTTCCGATTATTCTGATCCGATTGAGCTCGATCCGAATGAATTTTTAATCCGAGTGAAAAGGGTGGGTTATATATAGATATAGATGTTTGATAATCTGAATGAGGTTCATGTAAACACTTAATCTGATCATCTTACTCTGATTGTAGAAAACTGACCTGTTCACATGTCTGCTGACTTACATTCACCCGGTGGGACAGCAGCGCTCCAGCTGCGCTGCACCGCGCAGAACT